TCTGATCCGGACCAGTCGCGCCGGGAGGCCGCGACTCGAGCATCGCCCGCCATCCGGACCAGTCGCGCCGGGAGGCCGCGACTCGAGCATCGCCCGCCATCCGGTCCAGTCGCGCCGGGAGGCCGCGACTCGAGCATCGCCCGCCATCCGGCCCAGTCGCGCCGGGAGGCCGCGACTCGAGCATCGCCCGCCATCCGGCCCAGTCGTGCCAGGAGGCCGCGACTCGAGCATCGCCCGCCATCCGGCCCAGTCGTGCCAGGAGGCCGCGACTCGAGCATCGCCCGCCATCCGGCCCAGTCGTGCCAGGAGGCCGCGACTCGAGCATCGCCCGCCATCCGGCCCAGTCGTGCCAGGAGGCCGCGACTTGAGCATCGCCCGCCATCTTGTCCTGTCGTGTCGAGAGACAGGAAGCGAACGCCGTCTGCCGTCCAGCCCAGCCGAACCAGGGGACGCGGACCGAGCGTCATCCGCCATCTTGCCGCCGCGCCGAGGTTAGCCCATCAATATCGCGTATTCCCAGCCGGCCATCAGGTACGCCGTGCCGAACCGTAATTCGTCGCGTCCCGTCCATTTTGCGCCGTCGCGTTCAAGATGCCCTCCGAAGAGGATCCGGTCGCGTTGAAGAAACAGCGCGCTATCATTAAGGGATCGTGCACGCGGATTAAGACGTTTGTGGAGAAAATTGAATCTGTCACGCCGTCGGTCAGGGCTCAGCTCGCGGAACGCCGATCCAAACTAGATCAATGTTGGTTAGATTACAATGCGGTGCAATGTAAATTGGAAATGATAGACGATACCGAAGAAGGCGATCGCGGGGGTTTCGAGGAGGCATTTTATAGTCTGTCAGCTAAAATTCGAGAACTCGTGGATCCACCGGTTACCCAGTCGCGCATTGGCACTACGCCTTCTCCGACGACGTCAGGCGTCTCGGAAATTCGAGAAGCGGCTACGTACGTGCGGCTCCCCAAGCTGAGCCTTCCGACTTTCGGTGGGAAGTACGATGACTGGTTCCCCTTTTTCGACGCATTCAACTCAATCATCCATTCGAACGCATCGTTAACTAAAGTTCAGAAATTGCAATACTTGCGATCCTCGCTTACCGGGGACGCGAGCGATATTATCAACTCCTTGGAAATATCGGACGCCAATTACGAAGTCGCATGGAAACTGCTCAAGGAGCGTTATGACAACAAACGAGTCATCGTACACACCCACGTCAAAGCGATAATGGAATTACCCTCCATGCACAAGGAGAACGCCACCGAGCTGCGACAAATCGCGGACGGTGCGTCCAAGCACTTGAACGCTCTTCGAGCGCTGAATCGCCCCACCGAGCAATGGGACGATTTACTCGTATTCATCGTGGGCTCAAAACTTGACGCGCTCACACTGCGAGAATGGCAAGCGTCATTAACGGGATCCGATATCCCGACCTTCAAAAAACAAGTCGAGTTTATCGCGCATCGATGTCAGGTTCTCGAGGCCACCGGCAAGGCTAATGTCGCGGGCGCGAAAGTCGCCAACGCTCGTGCTTCAGCAAACGGGAAGCGCCAGGCTGCGTGCGCGGCGACGTTGAAATTCAAATGTAGCTTCTGCAAGGGTGATCATTCGGTGTATCACTGCAAAGAGTTTCTTGACCTCAGTATTTCGCGTAGAAATGCCGAAATTCGCAAGTTAAAGGTTTGCCTCAATTGTCTGCGGTCTACGTCGCATGCCGCAAACAAGTGCACCGCGGGCGCGTGCAAGGTGTGCAAGGCTAAATACAATACGTTGCTGCACACGACCGCGTCCAGCGAGACGACCGATTCCAACCAAGAGGCGACAGAGAAATCAGGCTCAACGGCATCACCTACTGCGCTAGCCATGCACTCATCGTGCCCCCTCGACGGCAAGTATGCCATGCTTTCAACGGCCGTCGTACACGTCCAGGATCACAAGAATTCGTTGGTGCCGTGCCGCGCGTTACTGGATTGCGGCTCACAGGCGAACTTCGTATCGAGGAAGTTCCTGTCCACGCTCGGCATCCCACCACGCGCCGTAGATATTTCCATCTCTGGCATAAATGGCTCGACTACCAAATCCACGCAAACCGTCCGGTTGAAAATGCAATCACGCACTAACGCATTCTCCTTCGATATAGAATGCATCGTCACAGATCGGGTTACGGATAGACTCCCTTCTCTCACGTTCAAGCGGGCCGCTCTTAACCTTCCACGCAATTTACAGCTCGCCGATCCCCAATTCCACGTGTCAGCTGACGTCGACGTTCTCATCGGCGCGGATCTGTTTTGGGATTTGATATGCGTAGGACAGATCAAGGCGTCGCAAACACACCCGACCTTACAGAAGACACGGCTGGGATGGATCCTGGCGGGTCGATTGGGCATTCCGCCCGGGCCACCGGAACCAATTAGATCTCTTCACGCAACAGTGACCAACGCGCAGCTTCACGAGCAGTTGAGCGGGTTTTGGCGCCAGGAGGACGTTGCCAACCAGCCAGTCAACTATAGCATCGACGAGGCACGCTGCGAGAAGCACTTCCTAGAAAGCGTGACCCAAGCTGCCAGCGGCAGATATGTGGTAAAACTTCCTGTCAAGGAACAAACAATCGCCAAGCTCGGCGAATCCGAAAGCACTGCGCGGAAACGATTGCAGTCGCTCGAGAAGCGGTTCAAGCGCGAGCCATCTCTGAAGCCACGCTATGAAAAATTCATCGACGAGTACGCTGCACTTGGCCACATGAAATTGGTTTCTCCGCAACTTGACGAAAGGGGATCCGTTTACTTGCCACATCATTGCGTGTTCAAGACCACATCGGCGTCATCGAAACTACGAGTTGTATTCGATGCTTCCTGCAAAACGACCACGGGAGTATCCCTAAACGACGCGCTCATGGTAGGGCCCGTCGTCCAGCAGGACTTGATGTCCATTTTAATGCGCTTCCGCACTTTCCGGTACGTTTTTTCTGCCGACATAATAAAAATGTACCGGCAAATTTGGGTCGACCCGTCGCAGACGTCACTTCAGCGAATCTTGTGGCGAGGCGACACGAACTCGGACATCAAGACGTACGAGCTGCTCACCGTCACCTACGGCACCGCCTCGGCCTCGTACCTAGCAACGAGGTGCCTCAAACATTTGGCAGAGCGACACGAGGCTGAGTATTCGTTGGGATCGAAGATCGTCAAGCGAGACTTTTACGTGGACGATCTACTGACGGGAGCGGACACGCTCTCCGAGGCCAAGCTAATTCGTGTGGAAGTCATTCAACTATTGCGGCTAGGATGCTTTGAGCTCAGCAAGTGGGCTTCAAACTGCCCGGAGTTAATAAAGGACAGCGCGAATCAGGATCAAGGGCCGGTCACAATCGACGATAACGCAACTTCCCACATCTTGGGAATGAAGTGGGATCAAGTCGAGGATACCTTTCTAATCTCACACAACGCTGCCGAAGATCAAGACAATATCTCGAAGCGTACGATATTGTCGGGAGTCGCCAGACTGTTCGACCCTCTCGGACTCCTCGGTCCTATCATCGTCACAGCGAAACTCATCCTCCAGG